TCATCGGGAATTAGTGAGTTTTGAGAGTCACGTGTTGGTCAATTCAGATTGTTAGCTTGTTTGTTCCGGAAATACAGTAAACCTGCCCTGAGTGAAAGTAATCTCATGCCGGGATTAAATCACAGCTGACAGCTGATGCAGAAGGTGGCGCTTAAGCCATCAACTGAACGTAAAAGAAGGGAACGTTACCGTTCCTTTTGCGCAAAATATTAGACCTTTTTTATAAGGGTGACCATTCCCATGTAATAGTGGTCAAAATATTTAATATTTTTTTTTTCAAAAATGAGTTTTTTTTTAGTTTAGAACTTTTGGACCACTTTGCGGATTTAAAAGTTCAAAATTTCAAATGAAATGTAATTCAAAATACTTTTAAGGAACAATTTAATGATATAAAAAAAATCGATTTTGTGTTGCACAATATTGATTGTATTTGTTTTGTGAATCGAAGCGTGCTCTGCTTCTGTACGGACACGAAAAATTTCCGAGTGTCAAATTTACGGTTTTATTTTTTCTTGGCGTTTTATTATTTTAGTGCAAGAAAGTGAAAGTGATCGGTTGGAAATGCATTCCAAAGTGTTTTCGTTTATCATAATCGATTATTCTGATTGGATGCAGGTGCAAGAGCTTCTTTGAAGATCCGAAGGAATGTTATGAAATGTTTAGCTAGAATTAAGAGATGCAGCAGCCTTTCAACTATTGGCTTCACGTGCAAACCATCGTTCATTTGGTGAGTTCGTTCCAGTTTATTTGTTTACTTGTTTCGATACCATCTATCAGTTTTCTACAATTTTGTCTTGGACATCTTTTCGAAGAGCCACGTTCATGCTGTAATTTGTCGAGCGCACAATTTTCACACGTTGATATCGAGTATGAACGGCAAGACAGTCATCCAAGTGCTTTGTTTCTAGTTTTAGACGTTTGATGTCTTCAGTGATGTTTTTGTACTTTAAAGTTCCCTTTTCTGTGATCATGGTGGGTCTGAAGAGTTTTTGTTGAGCACGCTGAGGCTGAAATTGCATACCCCCTCCCCATGGACATGGAGGTTGACGGTACTGAAGCAAAGGGTTATGTTTAATTTCTTTATATTTGCAACGATGATGATTTCCTATAGTGACACATATCACCTTCTTAATGCTTCAGTATGCCTCAAACGATTAATTCTTGGTTGTTAATAGAACTTCCTTGATGAAATCGGCTGCTTCATGCAGACTGAGTAATTCTGATTGTAGTATCAGATTTGTTCTGTATACAGAAGAACTGGGAGGGCTTATTAGAAACTTCTCACCAATATAGTAAAGATCTTCTAGTAAATTTTGCATATAATTTTATTAATATTTTATTTTATTTAAGCATATTATTTTTGTTACAGTCAATTAGGGCATACGATACAAGAGATTTAATATTATTTGCTCGTTTTTGCGTAAAATAATTAAAATTTATTTTACTTGTAATAACCTTTGAAAGATTTTTTTTTCAAGTTTTTTTTTGTGATCTGAAAATTTTCCCAGTTTGGTTAGAAGTTTCGAAGCTAACGCATGTCCACAGACCCAATAGAAAGATAGGCAGAAAAAGTGTATCATGAAGAATGGTTGCATGCAGGGTTGCTTTCACTCACTTGCTATAGATGAGTGATTTTCGGAGTTTTGAATCCGTTAGATGTTGTAATGGAGATTTGTGTTGTTGGATCCGGGAGGAGATTGGAGAGCGGGTGTTTGACACATAGAGCCTGTCAATTTCGATTTCAAAGTGCCGCAGTCGGCGGTTTTATGAATCGTGAGCGCTCGCGAATCGTAGAATCGTTGATTGTGACTGCAAGTGGATTTGGCGGGTTTTGTGTGTTGGACGCTTGCTTTTTGGCCTCTTCTTGTGTCTAACATGTGCAGAGTATCATTATAGTGTCTAATGGTTTTGAGATTCCTGATTGCGTGAAATATATTTGTGAGAGTATCTTTTTGAGATTTTAGCAGTCACGTTTTGTTTGTAGTTTATATTTTATTTCTTTCATGTAACTATCGTAAATAATAGTTATTCAATAATAGATAGTTCATCCATATATTCGTACTTTGACGCAAAGCGCTGTGGATTATGAGATGCTTGATGACCCTGGAGGGATCGATTTTGCTTACTGAGCAGAAAATCGTGGATTTAACCCCAAGCTCTTCCACAGCACAATAAATCGCCACCATCATTTGTATGTTTGATATTGAACATTAACCTCGGAAACTATTTGCATATCAAGCGAAAACGTAGTCCTGTATTGTCGCGAAGCGTTATGGTTCTAAGATGCTCGATGACCCTGGAGGGATCGTTTTTGCTTGCTGAGCAGAAAATCATGGGTTTAATCCCAAGCTCTCCGTCATGACTCTTAAAATTCATGATCACTAAACAAAATTAATATGTTCTTTCGATAGCCGGCTATCGAGAGATTAAATAAACAACAAATAAACAATACATACTTTTGGTTGCATCGCCATCTTGAGGTGAATCCTAACCGAATACCCTACCCAACACTCCAACTCCGTAGCACTTATGAGGGTGTTGCTAAGTCGGTGGCCTCTCGTTAAGTAAGTACTACATCAACATTTCATTCCCTATCCCTAGTTATGGTAAAGATGGGCGTGGCCTGGAATAGTGACAGTCATGCTTCTGTTACTCTTGTTTAGATTGTAACCAATGTTTACTCCCCAGCATTATTCCTGAAAGTAGTCTAACTGAGAATTTCAGAAGAGACGTGAGTGTCGCTAGTATCCAATCTACGAAGTATATCATAACAACGCTAACGCTAACAACATTGATTGTATTTGTTTTGTATGGTTTCCATGATGTGTAGACGGAGAGCACTATATGTTTTTAAAATTTGCCTTGAAAATTTAGGCTTTTTTACACAACATTTAAAAAAACCAGAGATGTTTTCTTTTCGTTTTTAAGTCATATGTCTATGAAGTTGTGACTAGACTTATAACTTAGATTATGTGACTATATATCAATGGAGACGTATGGTAGTCGCATGATATTTTGAGAAGAAAAGCCTTACATTTCATGGAAAAATATAAAAACATATTGCACCCTCTATCTACAAACCATGAAATACAAATAGGGTAAACGCTCCTAAAGTTGCGGTTCGTTAGAAGCATTAGGTTCCTATAATTGTGTATTGAGTCTCCATACACAACTAAAGGAACCTAACGCTTCTAACGTACCGCTACTATAGGAGCGTTTCCCTAGTAATTTTATTTAATGTTGTTTCGTCTTTGATTGAATCTTACAGACTACATTCACTGAAAAAAAAATAATAAGTTCTGTTCACTCAAGATGTAATGCATAAGAGATACAGATTTGAATTAAAAGTTGTAGCTAATATCAAAACGTACAAAAACTTCTTTTAGCTTTTTTCGGAATTCTGTTGTACATTAATGCACGAAATGAATGTAAATAACTTTTCATGCCTGATCTTGTTAACTAGCATTTAAATGTAATTTTTGCACAGATAACAATCTTAAATGTTTCAACTATTGTTTCCTGTGTGATATAAAAAAGCGCACTTGCCCAAAGTTACAATTTTTCACCAAATGTTTTTGTTCAACGATTTTTATCAATTTGTATGTGTCCATGCTTTTAAATTTGTTTAAAAAAAATTTGCATTTTTAATGAACTTTAAAAAAAACTAAAAGTATTAAACGTACACTTTTTGAGATATTTTAGTTTTTAAGTTGAAAATTCATGTTGATTTTTCCTAATATAATTGCGCTAATTTTTCCAGTGCATCAAAATTAATTACATTTTGGATTTGTGTTCCATTATAAATGCAGACTAAGAATATGCATTAACCTTTTAAATAACTCAATTTACTCCTTAAAGAACTCAATTTCAGGAGTGACAACAAAAATTAAATGATATTGCACGTCAGACATTATTCTCCTTAACGACCTGAAAATTTAACTGAATGTGAATAATTCTGCAGAAAATAGATTCACTTTCAACAACTTTTCGAAATTCATTTCATATTAAGGGGCTGTTCATAAACTACGTAGACATATTAGGATGGGGTGTTAAAATTTGTATGGACAATTGTCTACGCAGGGGTAGGGGGGGTCAATAATCCAAAAATATGTCTAGTTTATGAACAGCCCATAACATAAAATCCTAAAATTACATTCTATAAATTATGAAACAGCTCTCAGAATCATATAAGCTCATAAGAACATTCTTCAGGATTCTTGGAATAGGTCATTGATTTATTACCTTTTGTTTGATACTGTTTTTTTTTCTTTCATAATATTTACATTTTTAAGAACTAAGAATAAATAGGCGAGGAAAAACGTGAATTCAATTACAACAAAACTCGAAGTCTGACTGACGGCGCCGCTTAAAATAAAGGTCTTACTATAAGCAGCAACTTCACAGAAGGCACTTTGTCCACGCTGTAGAGGTAAAGGTAATTCATTAAAGACTGGATGTAAATGGGGGTTTTGTTGAAATGTTTGGAAAATTACACCCCTTCACTCTTTCGATCATAGAACTGGTTCATTAGAATCAACTTAGCTCAGAATTTCAAAGCATGTAGCTGCATCAGGATTCAATCGAACTGCACCGCGAGAATCAAGTTTTTTTTATTAAGATATTGGTTTTGAACGCATGTAAACATTGGGTTCGTGTATTTAAAAAAATGAGGTATGATTGGAAACATAAACTAGACTGGCCCAAAAAAAAAAAGAAACTTCTCTAGATTTGTGAATTTAGGTGAGCGAACCACTCTGTAAAAGGTTCACTTCATTTGATTGCAGCCCGAACAACCGATTTGAGTTTGGAGTTTATATTTGATTTTGTTTGAAATGTATGAGGAAATGACATCCCTTCGCTCTCTATGAGCTCGTAGAATATGTAAACTTTTATTTTTAGGGCTAGCTAAGTAGACTAACTGGCTAATATACCGTGCGGTTCTGAACTCCTTACATTTAAAAGTAAATCTTTTTTGATTGGTATTGAATCGTAGCTGTTACCTTTGCACTGCACTTATAGCAACCAATTTGTGAAAGATCATTCATCAGCCTTTTTTAGGTGTCCTCCTACCTGAAATAAAAACAAAAGTGTACACGTTAAGTTTGACATGCTAGAGTTTAATCTACTAAGTTTAGATATAATCTGTTTCATCGGCACATATCCTCTTATAAAAAAAGTTATCTTCTGCATCTGGTTAAGCCACACAACCATGCCTGATTTAAGAGCTTTCCTTTTTAACGATGTTTTTACATCTCATGGTTTAGTATGGTTTGTATAGTGTGTCGCTCGTTACAATAGTGACAACAGAACCCACCCCGGATTAAAGTGCCATTTTCCTACATACACATAGGCACAACCTCAACCCCGCTTGTGGCACACCGTGTGTATGTACATGTGCTCATCATCTCATCCAAGCTTGGGAAACAATTTCGCCTGCAGCATAGTGATAAGTCACGTCGAGAACGTGCGCTTTCGCGAATGTCTCCCCAGTACCAGTTAGCACAAGTTTCGTGCACACATAACGAACGGATGAGACAAAGTTTTAATCTTGCTCTCATCAGATCCCGCATCCCGCACACATACATACATTCGAAGTAGCGGAAAACTAAAAGAATGAAAAGAACGGAGCTGCCTGTCTTTCCCCTTTCGACCCCGTTCAGCGAGTACAGGATACCTAGGTATGTGATGGTTGCGAAGTTGGTGAACAGGGCTAACGACACCGGCTTGAGAGCACTTTAAGACGAGGAGACACTCCTTTCGACTTCGAAGCAGCTTTGCAGGCAGCTCTTCACAACATTGATTATGTTGTGTTAATGTCTTTCAATTTCGTGTGGTAACACTCACTCTACTGGCTTAGACAACAGAGCTCAGTGGAACAGTAGATCAACTTTTAATTTTCACCCGTACCGACAACGACGTTCTGCGTTGGATGGTTAAGGGTCTGACTCGCCATAATCTCCACCAACGCGGGAAAGACGACAACGAAGACATCGATGCTTTCTCTCGCCCAGCAGCAGCAGCAGTTAGATGTCTATATATCATCATGGTAAAGTACACAAATCCTCGGATTAAAATAATATAAATATTGACATTCTATTTATACTACTCTTTCTGGCGGTGGTTCTTTTTCTCAAGTGTTTGCTCGACCGTGTGGTGGATGAGTAGACATGCACGCCGACTCTGAAAACGTGAAAACTGATATTAAATGATACTGGTACACCCAATATTACATTCTTTGAGTATTCTGTAGTTCAAATTGTATCCGATTTTGTTTAAGAAATGTTTAAAGGACACATGACGCCGTTTTAAAGCAGACGTTGTACAAACCGATCACTTAACACTAGACAATGGACAACACATAACACCCATTAAACCAGGGGGTGAGCTCAGATAGCCTCGATTTTCCTGTGCATAGAGTCTCATTATGCTTGCTACACAATGTACAAATTCATGCATTCGATAGATAGAAAAATCTCAATAAGTAATTGTAGAAATGCATCTAGAACACTGAGTTGAGAGCCGACAACACGCCAAGAAGCAGAAGAAGACCAGTAGGTAAAATTCCTTGATACGAAAAGTTCCACCACACTATACACCTGAACGACGGGTGATACCGATAACCGTACGCCCACGAAGCCCACGAAGCAAAGAAGAGTCGTCTTACATCCATTAAAATTACGATCGGCTCATAACCCTGCCCCTACCTAGGAATCCGATTTAATCTACTGCCACCGAATTGTGTGTGCGTGTTGCTGCTACAAAAAAAAATCGGAATTAGCTTCCCCCTTCACCAGAATGACAATCTGCTTCTTCTGCACGGGACGGAACTAGTGTGGCAAACATGAGCACAGATCTGTTGAACAGCCCATGAGCCGCATCACGTGTGATCTTCTCCAACATCGTGTAAAGTTGGTGTTAAATATTGGCCGTGACAACGAATTGATGTGTGTTTACAATTTGACTTAGTTCTCCCATCACACAAGAGTGCGCTTTGGATGCCGACGGAATGGAGGCGGACAGACTTGGAAGTGAAATTTTGTATCACGTCAAAACAACCATCTACTGGGGATTAGGGAGTTCAGTTTGACAGGTTCCTGGAGACCGAAATGTGGGTGCATTGTTTAGGAAGAGAAGTGCCACTAATTTCGAAGAATTATGTTAGAACAAATTGGATATGTATGCAAACTTCTGTCGGCTAGAAATTATGATCTGTGAAAGACAGTCGTGTTTTACATGGTTTATGATCAAGAGAGGTGATTTTTTGGAAAATATGTGCAGCCACCGGCAAAATATTTCAACGGTAAAATCATCCATTTGTTTGCAACACATTCGTTTTTAGCAAATTAATTACGATAATAATGGTGCTAAACACATAACAGGATACATTGGAGCAATTTCACGCCAAATAACGCTTCGATCAGACTCAACCTTCTCCAATTTGCATGAAACTATGCATAATAGTCTATTGCCCATAACTAACATAGTTGAAGATGCTTAACATCAAATATCAAGCTTAAAGTGGTAATTTTATAAGATAGATGAAGAGATGAAAGTATAGAGATGATAGTTCCGTTAGAGTACGGTATAGTGAAAATTGTATATAGAGAGTAGAGCTGTGACTTCAACTATCCGGATAATTTAGTTTTTTCAATAAAAATACTTTCAGGTAAATAAAATATCGTTGAATTGATATTGAGTATATAGAATATCATGCTTTCTAGTGCCCAATATTGAAATAAAATAAATTAAGAAAACGTTGAGATAGTTATCAGGCGGATAGTAATTATCCGGATATCCGGATAGTGACATTTATTCTCCCTTTAACTGTTTTCTTTTTTACTGTTCTAAATATTTGGCAAAAAGTTGGTTGTTGACGCCCATCCAAAGTAACATTGTAAGTTTTATCGAGGTTTTAAAGCATGCTACAAGCCTAAATCACGGTCTTAGAACCCTTATAAAACCAGAATTGTTACTTGGGATGTGACCCGATGTGGTATGGCAAATCTGTTAATCGCCAAAATTTAATAAAATTGAAAAATAAAAATATCCGAGTCCCAGCACTAATAGAGAGTAGACAGAGAGCAAAGGTTAATTTTGAGGAAGGCACGAATCGGGTTGATCGTCTCCGTTACCTAGCTTCCCTGTTCGGAGGGATGGCGGATCTCGCCACAAATGGCAAAAGAGATGATCGCCGTTTTGCTCACGTACCTTCGACGTGCGGAAACAGTTCTATCGATTGTTTCACACTCAAGTCGTCATGTGACGTAAGCATCTAGTCGATGGGTTTGGAAATTGCAGCTGTTGTTAGGTCTACCGCTGTATGAGCTCCTGTCATCACATGTTAACGATCTCGAAGAGACATGGGTACCCAAGTAACATTGCAGGTTTTATCGGGGTTTTATCGGGGTTTTATAGCATTCTACAAGACTAAATCATGGTCTACAGAACCCTCATAAAACCAAAATTGCTACTTGGGTAGGGCGAGGTGCTGCTACTGTACCTTTCGACCAATGATAGTATGGATACATGGTAAGGATGGTTGGTCGAAAGATATAGTATCTCCCCTTGTTGATGATGACATACAAAAAATTAATTAAATCAAGTAGATGAACCATCTAGCCCCACCTTAGCCTATTGACTTGTGGATTATCCCTGCTTTTAAGTTGTCAACTCATACACACTTAGAAAAAATCATGTAAATTTAGGTGCTCTGAGAGTGACATATACGAGCGTCATTTTTGACTTACATTTGAGTCATAACAGACGCGAAATATAGCTTAATCAAACGTACTTTTCGTCGAGCAACGAACTTTTCAGTCTCGGAGCACTTAATATTACATGACATGTTTGTTTACGTCTCATCTTTTATGTCAAAGACGGATTCCGTCACGTGTAAAATTAGTTATTTCTAAGTGTGTAGTTTGTAGAGAACATTTTGCACTAATATCATGATGTATACATAGTTTCTTCTTTGTTAGGGTATTCAAAGCTTAATCACAGACAAACATATATAATTCTTTGAAAAAAATTCTTCAAAAATATCGTCAAGGGTATTTTGCATGCGCACTAGCACCATCTATCATGCACATTCCCAAGCATTTATGTGCAACCAGAGCATCTCTCGTTCATGCCATTTTTTCACCAGTTGCTTTCCTTCGTTCTGTCAATGCGTCAACTGTGTTGAATAAAAACAAAACAGATGGAAGTCAGTGATATTGGTTCTACGAAATTTTCCGTAGATCTATTGGCAAATCAAAGTTGGCACTCCTGGAGAATAGAAGAACTATGAAAGTGATGATGGTTTCAAAATTTTCCACGGGGAAGTATACGAGTGCAATCTTAAAATGCTTTTATTTTGTGAATGGAGCATTTTATTTAAATCTGGTTACCGCTACGGTAGTAGAAAACTTAAGGACTACTCAATAGACATATAATACAGAAAACATAATTTCTTTTCAGATTTTTAGGTGCAAACATAGATTTCAGACTGTAGCAGCAACCAGATTTAAATAAAGTGCTCCATTTTCAAAATAAAAGCATTTTAAGATTGCACTCGTATACTTCCCCGTGGAAAATTTTGAAACCATCATCACTTTGATAGTTCGTCTATTATCCACGAGTGCCAGCTTTCATTTGTTAATAGAATTGATTGAATTCTGTAGAAATAAGGATCCGTAGGAAAAAATCACAGAAGCTAAAACTTTTTTTTATAGATTTGTTTTGTTTGTTTAGTGTGCTTTTTCTTTTGCAGGAAACAAGTTTTTAAACGAGGTAATGCATCACTAATTAGTGCTTTTTCTACCACCGCTCATAACTTTAATGTGTGTACAGCAAAAAAATATAATATGTATCAATCAATGAAATTCATGGTGAAGTATTGAACATCAATAACTGGTAAAAGGGGTAAAAATTGATAAAATATTACAGTCATCAACATGATTTGTTCAAAAATTCTGTGTTAATCGTATAGCGTAATATAAGGAACGGAATGACTAATAAGCAGCACTTTTGATGTAATATTCAACAACTTTTTTTTTCTGTATTCGTCAGATGCGGTATGTGTCTCCAGT